CATAAGAGTTCTCATGTTTCAAAAACGAGAGCCGAAACCATCAGTATAATTATTAAAATTAAATTGAAGTAAAGTAACAAGCCCTGTTTCATCCTCAAGCGAAAATTCAAATAATAGAAAATAATCAGAAAATAATCAGAAAATAATCAGAAAATAATTAGAAAATAATTAGAAAATGATCTAAGCTCTACTTTTGTATGGAGCACTGTTTTTTAAAAAATAAAAACAAAAATGCTAAAGAACCCTGGATTATTTACCAAACGTGTTCTTTTCCTATTTTTTCTACATACCTGCACACACACACACACACATATATATATATATATATATATATATATATATATATATATAAAAAAGTGCAGACACTGATGTCTACATCGAGTGGCGATAGTCTGTTTAATGTTTGAACCTAATCTTCAGGCAACAGAAATGTATTTATTATACTCTGAACATGACATAAACATTACATTCAATCTTAAAACATAGTGTCGTTACTCGGTGTTGACATCAGTGTTTACCCACTGTCTAACTCGGATACTGAGCACTTTTACCCTATAAATATAGCATATCTTAAAATTATATTTCATTATGCATATATGTGTGTGTGTGAGAGAAAGAGAGAGAGAGAGAGCGACAGAGAGTGAGTAAAGAAACTGACACATTTGGAAAGTCATATAAAAAGTTGGTTTTTAATTTGTGTTTTCCTGAAAGAGTCAACGATAAGAAGTCACATGTTTTGCTAATATGATTTTGAAACAACAGCCAGGGGGCGCTAGGTTGAAAAACAAGAGAAGAGGAAATTTTTCAAAGGGTAGAAAGAAAAAAAATGGAGTATAATTGTCGACAAATAAAATGGGTTAAAATGAAAAGATGTTAAGAAATAAGAAAATTTTCTTCAAGGAAAAATTATGACAAACAAAATAACGTACGGAAAATGGAGATACAGAAATAAGATAAAAGAATGTAACACACAAAGGAGAAGAAAGAATGAAACAAAGAAAGAAAAGGAGATGAAAAAAAGAAAGATGGATGAATATGGGAAAGAAAAAAGGAAAAGAAAGAAAGAAAGAAAGAAACATCGGAGAGAAAAAAGATGCCTGATTATGAGAACGAAAAAATGAACAAAGAAGAGGAAAAAAAAGAGGGAGAAAGTATAGACCCAGAAAAGGAAGAAAACAGAAAGAAAGGTAGATGGAAAAAAGAAAGATAAATGGAGAAAAGAAAGAAAGAAAGAAAGAAAGAATGAAGAAACGTAGATGAAAAAGAAAGTTGGAAGAATATGAGAAAGAGAAAAGAAACAAAGAAGGACAAGCAAACAGGGAAAAACAAAAAAGAGAAAGAAAAAATGAAAGAAGGAACGAACGAACGAACCAAAGAAAGAAAGAAAAAAAGAAAGAAAGAAAGAAAGAAAGAAAACTAGATGAGAAAAAATTAGAGAATGAGACAGACCCAGATATTGGGAAAAACCAATAGACAAGAAAGAAAACGAGAGTTTGGAAAAAGAAAAGAGAGTTTAAAAAGAAAACGAGAGTTTGAAAAAGAGAGAAAAGCGAGAGAGAAGAGAGAAAAAGAGAGAAAAGAGAGAAAAGAGAGAAAGAGAGAAAAGAGAGAAAAAGAGAGAAAAGAGAGAGAGAAGAGAGAAAAGAGAGAAAAAGAGAGAAAAGAGAGAGAGAAGAGAGAAAAGAGAGAAAAGAGAGAGAGAAGAAGAGAGAAAGAGAGAAAGAGAGAAAAGAGAGAAAAGAGAGAAAAGAGAGAAAAAGAGAGAAAAGAGAGAAAAAGAGAGAAAAGAGAGAAAAGAGAGAGAAGAGAGAAAAGAGAGAAAAAGAGAGAAAAGAGAGAGAGAAGAGAGAAAAAGAGAGAAAAGAGAGAGAGAAGAGAGAGAAGAGAGAAAGAGAAAAAAAGAGAAAAGAGAGAAAAGAGAGAAAAGAGAGAAGAGAAAGAGAGAAAAAAAGAGAGAAAGAGAAAAGAGAGAAAAGAGAGAGAGAGAGAGAAAAGAGAGAAAAGAGAGAAAAGAGAGAGAGAAGAGAGAAAAAGAGAGAAAAGAGAGAAAAAGAGAGAAAAGAGAGAAAAGAGAGAAAAGAGAGAAAAAGAGAGAAAAGAGAAAAAAGAGAAAAGAGAGAAAAGAGAGAAAAAGAGAGAGAGAGAGAGAAAAAAGAGAGAAAAGAGAGAAAAAGAGAGAAAAGAGAGAGAAGAAGAGAGAAGAGAGAAGAGAGAAAAGAGAGAAAAGAGAACAAAAGAAAAAAGATAAAAGAGAAAAAAGAAAGAGAGAAAAGAGAGAGAGAAGAGAAAAAAAGAAACCAAGATAGTAAGAGAAACAAAAACAAAAAAATATAAAGAAAGAAAGAAAAAGAAAAATACCGAAAGAAATAAGAAAAGATGAAAAAACGGAAAAAGTTAAGTCAGTCAATAAATGAACAAATCCGTGAAAAAAAAAAATAACAAAACATGAATGAAATATTTTAACGCTAATAATTTTACACTCTCTTTCACACCCTTTCATTTTGTCTTAGACACACTCACTTACTCTCTCTCTCCCCTCCCTTCTCTACTTTATTCCTCTGTGACCTTATGATATTCTCTATCCAACTGTTTACAGAAATTTGCCAAGTACGTGACATTGCTATCATTATTTATGACTTGTGAGTGTTAAAGTCTCTAAACCTTCTTTCTTTATTATGTGTCCGACAAATTCTATCCGTTTCTATTTGATTGTCAAGAACGCTTTCTTTGGAGTTTGCATTCTCGTTAAAAATTATCTTTATATCCTGTAGGACGACATTTCACTTGCCTCTTTTTTTAATTTAATTTTTTTTTTATTTGCGAAGAAATTGTAAATAACATAGCATTGGCCAGAAAAAATGAATACACACACACACACGCGCGCGCCAACTATATCTTTCTGTCTTTCTTTTTTATCTCTCTTTCTCTCTCTCTCCGTATCTATTTATAAATCTATCTATCTATCTATCTATCTATATATATATATATATATATATATATATATATATGTGTGTGTGTGTAAATATATATATATATATATATATGTAAATATATATATATATCAGAATGTAATGTGAACGAAAATAATATAAATTCTAACGTTCACAGCATTAATTCAAAAGAGGGCTCAACACCAAGAACAGAGCAATAATTATTTATTATAATTTTCTCATATAGACAAAATCAATTTACTCACGACAAAGATGGTTATGAACAATTCTGTTGGACAAACAGACTTGTCCATAACTATTTTGGTTCTCACCAGTCGAAGTGCAACTAAATGTACCGAAACAAAGGTGCATTTTTGTAGTGAGTAAATTGTTTTTGTCTATATGAAAAAAATTATAATCCATAATCGACAAGATCAAAGGTACTTAAAAATCGTTACAAGACCGGCAACACAATAGATAGATACCACAGTCTATTCATTATCTCTCTATCTATAGACTGTGCTATATATATATATATATATATATATATATACAGTCTATTCATTATCTATCTATCTATCTATCTATCTATCTATCTATCTATCTATTGTGTTGCCGGTCTTGTAACGATTTTTAAGTACCTTTGATCTTGTGGCAAATATTAGTTTTGGACATCCATACATCAGATATCCCATGAATCATTTTTATGACCATCATCGCATCTGACTAAAGTTCGCTGAAAACACAGTTTAGCATATTTTTATATATATATATATATATATATATATATATATATATAGAGAGAGAGAGAGAGAGAGCAAAATATATATAATATATATATATATATATATATATATATATATATATAACAATTAAAAAATATTAAAAAATTAAAATCTTCTGACACACTGGGTTGTATATTAATATTCTTTGGTTTTTATTATTATTTCATTTAGATTCCTTGACTAGTTTCGGCCAACATGGCCATCATCAGGAGAAAAAAAAACTTTCTGCTTGCTGGTAGCTGTGAACTACAGAAATGAATGTCTTGATGAAGAAAATGAACTTTTGTCTGTACTTTTCATTTTTTTTTTGTTTTTAACATGAATTTTGCTCAGTCCTTTTGTTGGTCAAACAGTCTCTTTTAAGTTGATATTTAAGATAATATATATATATATATATATATATATATATATATATGTGTGTGTGTGTGTGTGTGTGTGTGTGTGTGTGTGTGTGTGTGTGTGTGTGTGTGTGTTTCATTAAACATAACTGGCAAGGTATTGCGATTAAGCTTTTTATTTAATTTTTCTTGTGTTTGTAAAAGAGTTTTCTTTTCGGGACAGAAATAATATAAAAACTGTCCTAATGTCCTGCATATCCGAGCGCTTTCGGCTATTCTTATATCCATTATCAAGAATGTTTGGTTTTTTTTTTTACCGTGTACATCTTTGAAGTTATTAAGTGTTGGTTTTTTCTTTTTTTATTATTAGTACTTCGATTATTTTAGTCAATTTTTACACCTTTCCGACTACAGCTCATTTAGGAGCCAATTAAACATGTGTGTGCGTGCATGCACACGATCGTGTGATTTCAAATATAAAATATCTCTTCTGTGTACCCAGATTTAATGAACTCACAAACACCCAAAAATTGGTTGCTTCAATGTGATATAATGGTTAGATTAATTACGACTTCAATATCTGTCTATATTTCTGAGATGAGGTATTATGTACACTATTTACATTATTCGGATTATTGTCCTCATCTTTGTTGCCATATTTATCACAACGTTTCGGCCTTTCAGTATCTGTCTATATTTCTGAGATGAGGTATTATGTACACTATTTACATTATTCGGATTATTGTCCTCATCTTTGTTGCCATATTTATCACAACGTTTCGGCCTTTCAGTATCTGTCTATATTTCTGAGATGAGGTATTATGTACATTATTTACATTATTCGGACTATTGTCCTCATCTTTGTCGCCATTTTTATTACAACGATTTCCCTTTCAGTATCTGTCTATATTTCTGTGATGAGGTATTATGTACACTATTTTCATTATTCGGACTATTGTCTCATCTTTGTTATTTATTACAACGTTTCGGCCTTTCAGTATCTGTCTATATTTCTGAATGAGGTATTATTCTACTCTTTAATTATTCCACTTATTTTCCTTAACTTTGTCGTGAACTTATCACGCTTTTTTGAACTCACTTTGTCCTGTCACTGATCTAACCAACGCCTTTATCCACTGTGCCATGTTTCGGTGAGTGAAATAAACTGTTCAGTTCGACATTCCAACCACCTGAAGAAGGCCGGAGCGTACAACGGCCGAAACGTTGTGATAAATATGGCGACAAAGATGAGGACAATAATCCGAATAATGTAAATAATGTACATAATACCTCATCTCAAAAATATAGACAGATACTGAAAGGCCGAAACGTTCTAATAAATATGGCGACAAAGATGAGGACAATAGTCCGAATAATGTAAATAGTGCACATAATACCTCATCTCAGAAATATAGACAGATACTGAAAGGCCGAAACGTTGTAATAAATATGGCGACAAAGATGAGGACAATAGTCCGAATAATGTAAATAGTGTACATAATACATCATCTCAGAAATATCGACAGATACTGAAAGGCCGAAACGTTGTAATAAATATGGTGACAAAGATGAGGACAATAGTCCGAATAATGTAAATAGTGTACATAATACATCATCTCAGAAATATAGACAGATACTGAAAGGCCGAAACGTTGTAATAAATATGGTGACAAAGATGAGGACAATAATCCGAATAATGTAAATAATGTACATAATACCTCATCTCAGAAATATAGACAGATACTGAAAGGCCGAAACGTTGTAATAAATATGGCGACAAAGATGAGGACAATAATCCGAATAATGTAAATAATGTACATAATACCTCATCTCAGAAATATAGACAGATACTGAAAGGCCGAAACGTTGTGATAAATATGGCGACAAAGATAAGGCAATAGTCTGAATAATGTAAATAGTGTACGTAATACCTCATCTCAGAAATATAGACAGATACTGAAAGGCCGAAACGTTGTAATAAATATGGCGACAAAGATGAGGACAATAGTCTGAATAATGTAAATAGTGTACGTAATACCTCATCTCAGAAATATAGACAGATACTGAAAGGCCGAAACGTTGTAATAAATATGGCGACAAAGATGAGGACAATAATCCGAATAATGTAAATAATGTACTTAAAGCGATGTTTTATTTATTTTGAGAATTAATGGCAGTGGTGTCTTCAGACAAAGGAGACATCAACTCAGTGGCATTGTCTTAGATTGAGGCCTTAGTTTCAAGGAAACAATTGTAGGGGCTTTAGTTCCTTCTTGTAGCATTGTGTAATGATGTGTAAACTAATCATCCCCTTCTATGTGTCTGTGTTTGTATACACCTGTTATATTCAAATATATACCTAGATAAATCTATTCTTTCAAAAAAATAAAATAATAAAATAGCCTACCGCGTTGTCTTTGTCATCAATAGTGTCCATTTTCAATTAACTTGATAGGCCTGCTGTGGGAGTTTTTGCCTAGTCATTTGTACGAAGAAAGACACTTCATCTCTTGATACCACTTTTCCCGCCTAAACGAACTCGGTCCCATTTGTACAATTTTAGAGCGAGCAAGCGTAATGTTAAGACACTTAAGCTTCAATAAATATCCACTAAAACGAAATTAAACTCCAAATTCATCTCTACGCTTCGGCAGGCACAGACCACAGTGAAAATAGGTATATCTCTTGGATCCCTGGTGGTATTAAAGTCGCAAATAGAGAGGCCATTTTTTTGGCCAGTGGAGTTAGTTTTATATATTTTAATTGAATTTATCTTTTTCTTCTTAAATATTTTTTTTTCTTGACAGAAGGAATTTTTTAATATATTTTACATATTTTCAATAAGTTTTATTCACTTCTGCACGTTTAATTTGAGTGATAACATTTACGATTTTTTTTTCTTAGCTTATGAATCACATATTTTTCTCTAATATATTGTGAAATATTTTCAAGAAAACCGCAAGGGATTTCATTTAAACGGATTTATTTTCGCTGTAACTCTTTCTTTTTTCATTTGCTTATACTTTTTCACTTACGTATTTTTTTTTTTTTTTTACCTCTTTTTTTCTTTTTATTGTTAGTTTTCTGTGTAGAGTGATGAATTTCTCTATTTCTTTTGATATTTCGTTCTTTCTTTTTACATTTTTCTTACTTTATCGTTTTTATTCTCTTGACGCATTTTTACATATTTTCTGTTTCTTTTTTGCTATCAATTTCTTTCTTTCTTGCTTCCTTCTTTCTTTTTTTCTTTTTTCTTTCTTTTTTCTGGCTTGCTTCTTTTTCTTGCTTGTTTCTTTTTCTTTCTTTCTTTCTTGCTTGCTTCTTTCTTTTCTTTTCTTCTTTCTTTATTTTTTGTTTGTTTCTTTTTTCTTTTTTCTTTCTTTTTTCTGGTTTGCTTCTTTTTTCTTTGTTTCTTACTTGCTTGCTTCTTACTTTCTTTTCTTTCTT